GTGACCGGCTCACGATTATGATGTTGCAGCAAGCCATGGTCATGGATCGTCATTTGTGATCTTCCCTGCCAGGTTCCCACAAGCAAAGTTGCCAGCTGTTTCCGTAAATTAGTCCTGCCAGTTTTTCTTACTAGGAGCCCCACTATGGAGTATGTACCTCCGCAGTACCCACCTGCCTGCCCACGCTTTCTAGTCGCACTTGTTGGCCTCCCCTCATTCAGTAGTGCCTGCCCACTATCCCCACTGGCTGGCACAACCCCAGTTCCTCCCCAGCCCACCTACGTTCAGTAGCACTCACCCACAGCTCCTCACCCACCAGCCTGCTTGCCTAGGACTCTGATCATGTATGGTCTTTTCTTAACAAGCTGCATGGTCTCTGGTTATGATGGCCACTGGTCCTGCCGGCCACTGGTCCTGCCGGGATTGGCATTGCTAAGTGAAGTGGTCACATGTCATCATGGTTTATAACCACATTACTTAGCAACAGAAAGTCCACTCCAAATGGCCGTTGTAACCTGAGGACTACCTATATTTTAGCCCCAATCTTTAATCTGCAATAACCGTCACATTAAGGAAATGCTGTGTAGTTCTTTTGTTTTGTTGTGTTTCTTCTCCACAGGAAAAAAGCAGAAGGTGTACAGGGAACTGTGGCAGAAACATCTGGAGCACTAGACAATGCCAAGGACAAAGTGAAGGCAGCCGAGCGAGCCCTGAAAAAAACAAAGGAAGCCATCCAGAGCGTGGAAGGCAAAGTCAAACAGGTGAAGCCAGCCAATTTGTATTTCTTGGAAGGAAGGGAGTTGTGGGTAATAGTCAAGATCCTGGATAGCTTTTAAGGTATCCTGTGCTTTCAGTGGGCAGCTGCCAAGTATTTTCCGTACCTGGCCTTTCATCCTGCCCTTCCATGACTCTGCAGGTAAGACTCAAACTCAGCTTCTGCTTTTGGGCCACTTGCATGCCATTTTCCTGTCAACAAAGTAATTGCTGCCTTCTCCTGGGAATCATATTTGTATTCCCAGATTGATTTATAGCTGCGGTATTTTCTTGACATCCCCCATCCAGGTATTAACCAGATCCAAGCCACTTTTGGACTCTCGTTCAGTGGTGATGAGTGCAACTCTTAAGGCAGGGGTCCCCAACTCCTGGTCCTTGGACTGGTACTGGGCCACGGCATGGCAGCAACCGGTCCGCACAAACAAGCAAAGGCCCATCTGTGGGATGCAGGCAACACACAAAATCATGCACTCTCCGGTCTATGGAAAAACCTTTCTGCATGGAACCGGTCTCTGGTGCCCAAAAGGTTGGGAACCTCTGTCTTAAGAGACCCGAAAGACAAGTATAGTATGTCCTGGAAAAACTCTATCTAAGTGGTCTCTGGGAGTTGAAAACAACTTGATGGCACATCCTCCTTTGCTTTTCAGCATCACCCAAGACTGGCATTTAAGAAAACGTTCTTTAATGCCTCCAATAAGAAATTGCTCTTTAATTTCATTCTAAAGCGGAAAATGTAATAGATATTTCCAGAGAGCAAAAACTCTTTAATTAAGCCAGTGGATTATGATTCTATGAAGGTTTAGTTAACATTTACCTACCTAATAGCAGTGTTCCTCAACCTTGGCCACTTTAAGATGTGTGGACTTCAACTCCCAGAATTCCCCAGACAGCACACATATTAACTTATCAGGGTTGAGAAACACTGCCTAATAGTACCAAGCTCATTGAAGGGGATTGTGTTGTGCTTCCCTCTCTTAAGTGTCCATTGTTGTTTATAAGATCATTTCACCATATATCACCACCATGCACCTTTTAAGAGGCCTCTGGTTAATGCATTAAGTATAGCTTATCTCATACCCACAGTATCCCTGCTTTATCTGGCTTTTAAAGCATCTTCATGTCAGAAGATGCCGCCTACATACGGAATGTCAACCAATCTAGTCTTGACTCGAATATAATATACCCACGTCTCCAATGTTATGGAATTACCATTAATACATTATAGAGGTACATATAATGCAACGTTCATAATGCTAAAATATCACATATACACATATAAATATAAATTTAGACCTTTATGGTGCCGCAAGACAGTTACGTCTGCTACCAAATGTTGTCATTGCTACTAGAAAATGGTCCAGTAATCAAGACTATCTGTCAGTACCATATGTCATACACTGAACTTGCCAGTTTATTTTATGAAATTGTTAAAACAAGCAAAATAGCATAGTACTAAAACGTCAGACTGAAGGGTTATTTATGAAATGGAAATGAAGGGTTACTTTTCTGATTATGGAAGATTTAAAAAAGTCTTTTGACACATTATTCTTAAACATCAGAAGGCAGATTTATTAGAAATATAGATACAGGTAATTCTTGACTAATGACCGTTCAAAGTTACGACAGGCCCACTTGGGGCTACTTAGGACCAGATTTGATGGTCACCTTTACTATTGTCACGTGATCAAATTTCACTTGGGCAACATGGTCGCTTGTACAGTCATTTGCAGCCTCCCACAGTCATGTGACTGCATTTTATGATGGGTTTGCTGAAAATTGGCACTCAGTTCTGTTTGGCAAAGCTGCGACCTCTGCAAAAAAGATCATAAAATTGTTTTATGACCAACATGACTTATGACTGTAATTCTGAGGCTCAGTTACAATCATAAGTCAAGGATTGCCTATACATCCTTTGCAACTATCATTTTATTGCCCTATATATTATACAATATCTTTCTCTAATTTATTGCATTCATCATTTTCTCCTATGCATTTTTTTCTTATCTTATCATCCCTCCAGCAAGCATTCTTTTTCATATTTCATATTAATGTAATTCCACAAACTCTCTGTACTCTGCAGCTTAATTCTTATCTTTCTGTTCCATATAACTTCCAAATCCCCTTTCTTTATACTCATTTTCTATTAATCCTGGCTCCTCCTGTATTAGGAGATTAATCTGTCTTCTAATGCTGTTTCATGCGAGGCTCATGCTTTCTCTTGTAGTTAGTATACGTTTCATTTCTTTCACTCCCTTCCTTTCTTCCAGGTTGATTTTTCTCTAATCCACTCGTGAGGTCTCATATTCAGACCTTCTTACTCTACTTGGATCGTCAGTCATTCTTTCAAGGCTTTCATCATAGACCATCAAATCAATCAGCTTTTTTATGCTTGCGCATGAATGGATTTATGGTTAAAATATTCTGCATATTCTAAAGAAACATATAATTATTTCTGAACAGAAGTTGCCAAACTATGATCGTTCTTATTCATTCGAACAACCCAATCACTTTTTCTGTAGTCTCACAACTCATCTACGCCCGTTCACCCAAGTAATTAAATACTTTTTTCTTGGATGACCTTTAAGGTCCCTTCCAACTTTATTATTATTATTATTATTATTATTATTATTATTATTATTATTATTATTATTATTATTACTATTACTATTACTATTATTATTATTCTTTTAGAACTCTATAGGATCACATTTGTTTAGAATGTTATGTATTTTTCCCCAAACTCATGTTTGTTTTTTCTATTAGTCATTATTCATTGAACCGTAACTATTACCAACCTATGAATTCTGACTTCCTTCTATGCCCACAGTGATCCAGTTGACTCTAATTAATACTTCCTGACATACATTTTGATATAACTTTCAGCTCATACAGATAGTCTTCAAATTACAACTGGTAACTTAGCAACCATTGAAAGTTACAATAGACCCCCCTCCCCGAAAACTGCTTATGTCCCCTGGGGTCACATGACTGCTTTTTGGGTGAGTGGCAACTGGATTACCTTTACAGGTGGTTGCAGTATTCTATGGTCATGTGATCACAACTTAACAATTTTTGGCTCGTTTCTGGCCTTTGGGGATGGTTTCCAGCAAAAAGCACCTGCAGAAAGACCTTGATTCACTTAGTGACTGCATTGTTCACTTAATGACTGCTGCAAAAAAAAGTCATCCAATCAAGTTTGGTCACATGTGTGCCTCAATTTATACCCATCATGACTTACAATGGAAACGCCAGGGCCCATTATAATCGTAAGTTGAGGGCTACCTGTAATTAAAACTATGCTTCACTTCCCTGAAGATGTTAATTAATTATTTTCCACACGATCAGACCACCTTCATTCAGATCTGTGACAGCCTTCTCCTTCCTCTTAGTTTCACAGACATGCAGCGTATCTATTTCTCTTTCTGTCACTTCGTTTATTCATTCATCTTCTTTGCTATTTACTCTTCTTATGTTCTAGGTGCACTCCTCCAGGTTTGTTTATTTATCCATCTTCTTACCGCAATCCATATTGAATTTTAGCAGTTCTATATGCTACGGTCGTCACCTGGTGACTCATAGAAATTGACCTTTACCGCCAATTACACTGTACACGTTTTTCAATTGAGCATACACATAACCTAAAGAAGGTAATATACTAGGACACCAGCTTTAGTTCTACCTGTGCTATTTGCTTATTCCCTGCAGGTAAGGGACAGTGCCTGTCAGTTTTGGTGCTCCGGGCCCATCATGCTACCAGGAGAATCACAGTCTGCTTTACCCCAAGAACGTTCACATTGTTGTTTTTGTTAGTTGCAACCCATCGCAACCAGATGAACAATGTTCCTCCAGGCCTTCCTGTCCTCTACCATCTTCTGGAGTCCATTTAAGCTCACGCCTACTGCTTCAGTGACTCCATCCAGCCACTTCATTCTCTGTTGTCCCTTTCTTCTATTGCCCTCAATCTTTCCCAGCATTAGGCTCTTCTCCAGTGAGTCCTTCCTTTTCATTAGGTGGCCAAAGTAATGAAGTAAATTTCTAATTTATAGACAATCTAGGTGGGCAACACACTGTCGCCCTCATCCTACCAAATCAAAAGTATATGCAGTATTCTTCCAAACACTCCAAATTGGCAAGGGCAGAAAATGTTAAGGAACAAATACCAATTTACTAAGAAAATAATGGTGTTTGAACAAATCATCAATTAAATGAACTTTTGAACAAAAATTATTATGCTAAATGAGCTATGTTGAATAGATATTTAGACAATTGATAAATGGGTTTAAATATGTTTGCTTATCATATTATTTCGTAATTATTGGGAACTTGTTTGGGTTACTTTTTCAGTATTTTGTTGTATTTAATTATGAGTCTCCTACTGCCAGTTGAAGTTAGATGGCATCCAAATAGAATTTAATAATGAAGAATATTTTAAGCATGAGCTTTTGAGCAAAAATGATTATGCTAAATTACCTCTGCTGAATAATTATTTAACCATTTCTTTATTATAGTTGGTCCCAGAGTCAGCCAGATGTTTAGACTGGATTTGGCATTTTATTGACCTATAGAGTCCTTCCCAAGGACCTGGGATAGGCAGATGCTATTGTTTGATTTTATTATTGTTATGTCCCGAGCCTTTGCAAACGGCTCGGGCGTTTGCAGGCAGTCCCGGGCAGGTGCAAAGCTGCCCGGGACCAGACAGGCTGTCGCCAGCGCCGTGCGCATGCGCGGTGCTGGCGCGGGAAAAGTAACCCATTTACCCGGGAGTTGCCTATATAAGAGGCTGCGAGGCGTTTGGGCGAGGCTGAAGCCATCTTCCTGTAAGCTGAACGCTGAATAAAAGAAACTGAGAACTCCAGCTGCTTCTCGTGTCTGTTTTCCCGCCACGGACTCAACACTGGCGACGAGGATGGGATGCCTTGCACTACCTGGAAAGGAAGAAGTGTAAGCTTACCCACGGAGTCCTGAGCGGCGGAAGAGGAACGGCGTC